TTCTTTTCAGCTTTCTTTGTACCGACATTTATTTTGTCTGGTCTTTTCGTAGTTATGGGCGTCCCATTTATTTCTCTTTTTTTGGGGGTTTTGAGCTTCTTCCGATTTACGGTTTGCCATTCCTCAGGCTTATCTTGTCTGCTCTTTTTGGCGCTCTCATTTCCTGTGTTTTGCGCAGCAGGACTTGTCGCCATGCGCTTTTGTCTATGCACGTTTGGTGTGTCTACCACATTTGCTTCTCTTCGTGCTTTTTTCGCCACTGCCTTGATCCAGCATCGGCTATAGTAGCCCATGTTTTCGAAGTGCGTTTGCAGTTCGTTTACGCCATCTTTAATATCTAGCGAGACATTTTTTTGCCGCATTATGCCATTTTTTATCTTCATTAAGGCGGCTATACACTTTCCTAGTGTCTGCTCCTCTTCCCTTCTCAGGGTTTGGATGTATTCATCGCTCGGTGAGACGGGAACCTCCTTCATTTGTGATGGCACGTTTGGCGTGCCACTGTCCGATGCGGACTTCCCTGGGCCATCTTGCGATGGCGCTTCCGTTAGATTTTGTGTATTTGTTTTTTCATTTGTCATGATTTTTGGGTCCAAACTCCTAGCCGCTATCGATGTTCGGTTGTATAGTCGCTCGTAACGATCCCCATGGTTATCTATGCGAAGCAGGGAGGCCATGCGAGGGTTGACACAATTCCTTATGGGAGATTGTGTTCAGAGCCAGAATCTGGCGCAGGTCAGGAGTACTCTCAACTGAGCCTATACCACCAACTTAACGGTGACGAAACATCGAACGTACTTGGAGACTTGCCAAGTTTTAAAAGGACGGAGGAAGATGCAGCATTAACCTGAAAGCCATTTCTATGAGATGTCACTCTCATATACTCAGGTAACAGAATACCACATCCGCCAGCCCAAAGTCATCGTTATCGTTGTTTATTTCCAGTATGCCATGGGTGTATGAACCCTGAATTCATAGCTGATGTGCATTGCCTGTTTCGGCATGCGTTTTTTGCCATCATCTTAACATAGTGTTTATGTTGGACGTGAAGGAACTCCATCGTTGGTGCAGCTGCCTTCTCTTAAAACAGTGCACTCGTCCGTGTCCCTCGGTGGTGCACAGCTGCAGTCACTCTCTGCACACTTGGGTGTCCCTCGATGGCTGGATTTTAGTCGCCTCGTACGACAGGCATGCCTTACCACGGGAATATTCTAACCCCTATCCCGCAGGGGGAATAATAATAATAATAATAATAATAATATAATAATAATAATAATATAATAATAATAATAATATAATAATAATAATATAATAATAATAATAATATAATAATAATAATAATAATAATAATATAATAATAATAATAATAATAAATAATAATAATAATAATATAATAATAATAATATAATAATAATAATATAATAATAATAATAATAATAATAATAATAATAATAATAATAATAATAATATATAATAAATAATATAATAATAATGAATAATAATAATAATAATAATAATAATAATGATAATAATAATAATAATAATAATAATAATAATAATAATAATAGTAATAATAATAATAATAATAATAATGATAATAATAATAATAATAATAATAATATAATAATAATAATAATAATAATAATAATAAAATTAATAATATAATAATAATAATAATAATAATAATAATAATAATAATGAATAATAATAATAATATAATAATAATAATGAATAATAATAATAATAATAATAATAATAATAATAATAATAATAATAATAATAATAATAATAATAATAATAATAATAATAATAATTTTTTTTTTTTTTTTATTTCGAGGCTGGGGAACAAAAAATGTCTACACACACCCGCAGAAAACGTCTTTCTGTGGGTAGTGCACGGTTCGCGCTAATCGCTGACATGCTAAAAAACTCCCCTTTCCAGGATGAAGTACATGACCCGGAACCACCACTAGGTATTGCTTCAGATCATGCACATCCTGATTGTAAGATTTAATCTTACGTCGCTGCTGTTGTACCTGCGTCCAGGCGCCTCTTTTTTGCACGTAGTACTGCCTCCACGTGCCTCGCCACCACGGTCCAGTTGCTCTCGCTTGCCATTAGTAAAGGTACCACGTTTTCCGGGGTCCACATGCCGCCAATCTGTGCTTCTAGGCTGGTTCTCTCGGTTGACCATTTAATGCACTTGAAGAATGTGTGTTGTGCATCATCGACTTCTGCGTCGCCGTAAATGCAACTCTGTTCTTCGCGAATGTTCATCCGGTACAGGTACTTGCCGAAGTATCCGTGCCCAGAGAGGAGTTGCGTCAAGTAATAGTTGACCTCGCCGAACTTTCTTGTCGTCCATACCACTAAATCGGGAATGAGTCTTGCAGTCCACCTACCACTAGTTTCGTTGCTCCACCTGTTCTGCCATTCTTGCATTGTGTGTTCTCTGTAGCTTGTGCTCACGCTGTTGTTATCGTTGTTTTGGCGGCTTAAATATGCTCGCCGTCGTTCCATGGCCAAGAGGTCGATGGGTATTGCGCTGCTGATCACAAGAACCGCTGCGCTGGAAACAGTTCGGTAAGCTGATGCTACTCTGAGTGCGGCGGTTCTCTGGACTTTTTGGAGCGCATTGCGCTTCTGATAAATCTGTAAGGTGTCTGACCATACTTCCGATCCGTAGAGAAGTACTGCGTTCACTACTGCCATTAGCAATTTTCGTTTACCTTCTGTTGGTCCACCAACGTTTGCCATCAGCTTGCTAAGGGACGCTGAGGCCTTTGAAGCTTTTTCGACAGCATGATTTATCTGAGCCCAATACGACATCCTAGAGTCCAGATGGATGCCCAGATATTTCATTACCTTAGATGTTTTTATGGTCGAGTCCCAGACCTGCATTTCGATTTCTAAGGGTATTTGCCGCTTCGTTAGTAAGATCAATTCAGTCTTCTCGGTTGCTAGTTTTAGGCCACGGTCGTCCATCCAAGCCATCGTGCGTATCATCACCTGTTGCAGTTTGAGTTGTGCCTCGTGCACATTTCGAGCTGTGATGACTGCAGCTACATCATCAGCAAAGCCGACTAGGTGAACGTTGTCTGGCATTTCGATGGAGAATATTTCGTCATAGCTCGCATTCCATAGATCGGGGCCGAGAACGGAGCCCTGTGCTGCACCGGAAGAAATCTTCTTGGTTTTCATGCCGTTCTGTGTGTGGTAGAGAAGCTCTCTATCGCTAAGGTAGCTGCGAATCATTTGCATTAGGTACATAGGTGTACTAAAGCGCCTTTCTAGGGCGTTGATCACATCAACCCATTGTAGGCTGTTGAACGCGTTACGAATGTCTAGAGCCGCCAGAAGGACTATGCGCTTCGAGTAGGCATTGCCACGTTGTGCAGCCTCTACGGATGCCACCACGTCAGCAATAGCTCCTATGGTGGACTTTCCTGGCCGGAAGCCGTGTTGTCTGTTGGATAGTCCCCCAGCGATCTCGATGGATTCTGCTATGCGCGGTTTTAGCAGTCGCTCCAGCAATTTCCCTGATGTGTCGAGCATACAAAGCGGACGATATGCGTTCGGCATCTCGGGGTTGCCCTTTCCTTTGCTAATCAGAGTTAGTTGCTGTTTTTTCCAAACCTCTGGAAAGATTCCTTCCTTCAGGCAAGAATTAAACATTTCAAGCAGGAGTTGCGGGCGGTCATCTGCAATCAGTTTAATTACCTCTGATGGAACACCATCTGGTCCTGGAGCCTTGTTGTTCTTCAAAGAACGTGCGGCGGCTTTAAGTTCATATTCCGTGAAAAATGGTGGGTCGTCAATGAAGGTCCTTTCGGGATCTCTTCGCTCTTCATGGTCCGGAAAGAGAGAATTTACGATGTTATCCATCACACTTTCTTCCATATCAGGAATTGATGCTAAAGTACCTAGTTTCCGCATAACAATCTTGTAGCCAAGTCCCCATGGGTCATTATTTACATCGTTACGCAGCTCTTCCCATTTTCTTTTCTTACTTCTGTGGATAGCAAGCTTTAACGCTTTCCTCGCCGCTTTCAGTGCTTCAATTTCTTCCGCAGCGTTACTTCGGGTTCTGGCCCTAGTCATTCTCCTCCGCATTTGGAGGCAGACCCTTCGAAGTTCGGCTATTTCATCAGTCCACCAGTAGGCTGCTTTTCTTCCAGAGTTTTTTGCAGCTCTAGGCATTGCTGCGTCGCAAGCCTGTGTTATGCTTTGCATTGTGTGGCGGACCAAGCTTCTGGCGTCTCTCACTCCAGCGTTTCTCATCATCCTCTCATCAAACACCTCGAGAAAAATATTTCGATTCAGTTTGTTCGTGGACCATTTGCGGGTAGATTTTCTTCCGGAGTTTCCATTTGGCCTGCTGAGTAGTTCGACGGTGAACCAGATGTATTGGTGGTCACTGCCCGTGAAGTCCTCCAGTACTGACCATCTCTTTAGCGTACTCGCTATCCTCTCTGACACCAGCGTGATGTCTGGGATTGTGCCTTCGCATCCTAGTCTGCGGAAGGTGGGAACCGTTCCCCTGTTTGCGACTACCAGCCCTAATCTGGCCGCCATATCGAGGACTCGCCTACCTCTAGAGTTTGTGGTCGTCATACCCCATTCGATAGCCTTCGAGTTGAAGTCACCCCCTATGATGAAGTTGCCGCCTGTTTGGGTGGCGCAATCCTCGATTGCGTTTAGTTTTGTTTGAAACTCGCCGATGCTGTCGTTAGGTGTTAGATAGCAGCTCATGAGGGTGAAGTTGCGGTTTCGCACCCAAACGTATCCGTCTCCAGCACCGCTAACCAAAAAAGGGAAGTTTTCAGCGCATGGAAGCCAAATGGCTGCTGTTCCACTGCTATCAGCCAAGTAGGCACCACTATTGATTTCTCTATACTGTTCGCTGATTATGACAACATCCACGTTCCGTTCATGCACGAGTTGTAATAGGAGGGCGTCTGCTGTCTTGCTTCGGTGCATGTTTGCTTGCAGAAGTCTTATCATTTCTGGGTTTTAACCGATGTACATTTGCCAGATGCGGCGATGTGATCTACGGTTTTAAGGCCAGCGTCAGAACATATGTAGCACTTTGAAGGGTTCGTGCAATCCTTTAGTTTGTGTCCAGGTTCGCCACATTTGATGCAAAGATTCGTTCTGTCTGGACCCTTGCAGTTTCTTTGAATGTGTCCTACGCCATGGCACCTGAAACAGCGCTTAGTTTCAGTGCGCATCCGCATTTTCGCTCTGATCCATCCAATAGTGATTGAGCCTGCTTCGAGAAGCTTTTCCGCTGCTGTGGTTGGGAGTTGTACATAAGCTCTAACCAATTCTCGGTTATTCGGTTTAGTGACCGTGGCTTTCAATCGATCAATTCCATTTGGAAGGATTCGTTTGACGGCTTCTTCGACTTCAGCAGTTGTCGTGAGCGCATCAAGGTCCCTTATCTCTATTGTGGTTGTTGGTGTTAGCCCGGTTACCTCCACTGTTTCCTGCAAAGCGCTCCTAATTTTTTCGCAGAAATCTAGGCTTGCCTTGGTCCCTTTATCAAGCTCTAGTAACATAGCTCCCGACATTGTCTTCCGAACTGTGCGAATTTTGACTTCCGAATCGCCCGGCTTGACGTTCGAACGAAGGTTTTTTAAAATATCCGAGTAGGTTTGGCTTCCCGTCGGTTTTATAAGAACGGCTTCTGTCTTCGGACCCCTGTTCTTGTTTGATCTGGTCCTACTTGCTTCTGCCTCTATCTTCCTCGTGGACTTTGACTGTTTCTTCGTGTCGGCAGCTGTTTTCACTTTTCCATTCGAGGTGGCAGGGGTATCGTTTTCCTGGTTCCCGTTTGCCTTTGGGCTTTTAGGCTTCTTCCGGTTTACGGTTTGCCATTCCTCGGATCTGTCTTCTCGAATTTTTTTGGCGCTCTCGTTCTCTGTTGTTTGCGCCACTGGACTTGTTGCCACACGCTTTTGTCGTTGCACGTTCGGTGTGGCAGTCAGAATAGTCTCTTTTCGCAGTTTTTCTCTTTTTTCTACTGCTTTAATCCAACCTTGGTGGTAAACGGTCATCAAATCCAACTGCGTTTGCAGTTCATAAACGCCCTCTTTAATGTCCGTCGAGACATTTCTTTGCCGATTTATGGCTTGCTTTATTTTGTTTAGGGCGGTTACGCATTTTTCAAATATTATCGCCTCTTCTTTTTTCATTTTGTACTCATTTCCCGGTGAAATGTGCACACCATTCGTCTTTTGTGGCACCTTTGGCGTGCCCTCTTTCATTGCGGACTTCCCTGGTCCATCTTGTATTGACATTTGTACATTCACATCATTCGTGGACTTCTTTAGACCATCTTGTACTGGCCCTTCCGTTGACATTTTTGTATTGTTGTTATTCATGTTTTTAGGGTCCAAACTCCTAGCCGCTATCGATGTTCGATTGTATAGTCGCTCGTAACGATCCCCATGGTTATCTATGCAAAGCAGGGAGGCCATGCAAGGGTTGACACAATTCCTTATGGGAGTTTGTGTTCAGAGCCAGGATCTGCCGCAGGTCAGGAGTACTCTCAACTGAGCCTATACCACCAACTTAATGGTGACGAGACATCGAACGTACTTGGAGACTTGCCAAGTTTTAAAATGACGGAGGAAGATGCAGCATTAACCTGAAAGCCATTTCTATGAGATGTCACTCTCATATACTCAGGTAACAGAATACCACATCCGCCAGCCCGAAAATCATCATTTTTGTAAATTTCTTCCAGTATGCCATAATCAGGATCTTACTGGGCTCGATCCTGATGGGTGTTTAAACCCTCAATTCCTGTTTATACTTATCTAGAAAAGCATTGCCTGTTTTGGCATGCATTTTTCCAACTTTCGTGCTTAGTTCTTACGTTGGGCACGAAAGAACTCCATCGGTGGTGCAACTACCCGCTCTTGGAACAGTGCACTCTCCTGTGTCCCTCGATGGTGCGCAGCTGTTTAGTCGCTCTCCACGCACATGGGTGTCCCTCGTTGCCATCCCGGGATGGTGGACGCTTACTTAGAGCCGGCGTCTACTCGGCTCAGCTCAGGAGCTTCTCAGGGTTATTGTGACCTTTTAAGCCACACCCTCCGACGCCTAGCTGGATTTTAGTCGCCTCGTACGACAGGCATGCCTTACCGCGGGAATATTCTAACCCCTATCCCGCAGGGGGAATATAATAATAATAAGAAAATAACAATGATAATATAAAAATAATTATATAATAATAATAAACAATAATAATGATAATAATATAATAATGATAAATATATAATAATATAATAATAATATTATAATAATAATGATATAATAATAATATTGTAATGATAATATAATAATCAATAATAATAATATAAAAATCAATAATAATATAATAATAATAATAATATTATATTATTAATATTATTATTATTATTATAATAATGTAATAATAATAGTATAATAATATAATGATAATAATATTATAATGATAATAATATAATAATGATAATAATATAATAATGATAAAAATATAATAATATAATAATGTAATAATAATGATGTAATAATAATATTGTAATAATACTAATATAATAATCAATAATAATATAATTATAGTATTACTAATAATGTGATAATAATAGTATAATAATAATGATAATAATATAATAATGATAAGAATATAATAATAATAGTATAATATTGATAATAATATAATAATAATAGTATAATATTGATAATAATATAATAATAATAGTATAATATTGATAATAATAACATAATAATAATAATAATAATATAATAATATTAATAATATACTTATAATAATAATAATATAATAATAATTATATAATAACAAAATAATAATAATGTAATAGTAATATAATATAATTATAATAATATAATAATAATTATATAATAATAATAATACAATAATAATATAATAATAATAATATTATTATTTTTTTTTTATTTCGAGGCTGGGGAACAAAAAAGTCTACACACACCCGCAGAAAACGTCTTTCTGTGGGTAGTGCACGGTTCGCGCTAATCGCTGACATGCTAAAAAACTCCCCTTTCCAGGATGAAGTACATGACCCGGAACCACCACTAGGTATTGCTTCAGGTCATGCACATCCTGATTGTAAGATATAATCTTACGTCGTTGCTGTTGTACCTGCGTCCAGGCGCCTCTTTTTTGCGCGAAGTACTGCCTCCACGTGCCTCGCCACCACGTTCCAGTTGTTTTCACTTGCTAGTAGTAAGGG